TTTTTTTTTTTTTTTTTTTTTTTTCCATTTTATTTTGCATGGATTGCTCACACAAATCGACATGAAATGATTACTGATTAGAAAACTTTGGCTTCCTAGTCATCATAGTATACACATCTGGCAAATGGGCTCCGACCACATATTCGGACAAATGGGGTCCGAATGGTGAACCTTGTGTCCGTCCCCTAGATATCCGATAGCCTCCCCAAATATGTGGTCGCCTACCATTGTCGAAATGCAACATGGAAAAAAAAAAAAAAAAAAAACAGATCAGCTAGCCTAGCAATTGCAGCTCTGCAATTTTGTTCTCTGAAGACCTTCAACTCGCTTGTGCAAAAGCGAAAGCGAGTTGAAGCTGAGTTTGTCCAAAACGGAGTAAGGGAAGAGACCCTGATCTCTTTCCGTTGCTACGTGCATTACATCCCAACTAAAATTTGCTTCAAACTCCCAATCATTGGGGTAGTTCCAACGGTCTTTCCCCTCCTCTGCAAGCAAAATTTTTCTCGTGTGTTTCACCCCCCGTCGACTCGTCGCTGCTTCTGCTGCACCTCCACTCTTCATTCTCCTGAAGCCCTTTTGTGCTTCGATCCAAACCCCAATAGTGAGACCCTTCACTTGCGTGTGCAAAATGGAAGAGGAGCCTAGGAGGGCAATTCCGCTGGGACGTCTCTCGTATGCCACAACGAGAACAAAAATCGACCACCCTGTTCTCCCCCCCACGGGGCCCATTATAAATGTAAAAATTTGGGTCGTCCAGGTGCTACTCCCAAGCAGAACATTATGCCGAAAATCGGTGTCAAAACACCGTCAATCGCCTGTATGATGTCCGCCACAGACCCATTTGCACCAGCTTCCTGTACCAGGTTACGAGGAGCTCTGTTTTGAGGTGAGGATGACTGCATTTTAGTGCATTTTAAGAGACACCAAGGACTTCGACGCAAGGTTGATGATGGAGTTGGCAATGATCCGTGCATTGCTTTTGAGATATCCTCCTGCAAGATGAATCAAACATAAGATAGAAAGTTTTGGGAACACTACATTTCAGTACAATCTCCAAAAGACTGGGAAATTAACGACATGCGTACGAAATCATAATGTATATATTACAACAGCGCTCTTCAGTGTCCGACTGCATAGCAGCTCTTTCCCCTGAACACATGCATGTCTTTCTTCTTCTTCTTCTTCTTCTTCTTCTTCTTCTTCTTCCTCTTCTCATTCACAAACAACACATGCATTCTCTTGTTCTTGTTCCTGTTCTTATTCTTCTTCTTCTCCTCAGACTAGTCTCTGCTGGCTATGGATCTGTATACATCTCTCTCTCTCTCTCTCTCTCTCTCTCTCTCTCTCTCTCTCTCTCTCTCTCT